ATACGATATGATATGATATATGATATCAATATTAATTATATTACATATGACATGCGAATATTATAAATAATAAAATATAAATATTACAAATTAAATAATATTACATTAATTACAATATTAAATTAAAATAATATAAATATTACAAATTAAATAATATTACATTAATTACAATATTAAATTAAAATAGTATTACAAAATAAAATTGAATTTTGATATTATCTCAATATTTGTGATATATGTACCTCCTAGAAAATCAGACAAGGCTTGAATATGTCTTTCTGATCTAGTTCTGCTAGTCATGTTACTCACTGAAATGATGGGTGATGCAGTCGATATGCTGTTTGGTTTAAAAACTATTCCTTTAGAAAAAGATTTCATTTAATATTATTGCTTATTTATTAATCATCAAGTAAACCAACGCTACTTTTGTAACTAATTTTACAACGAATCAATCTCTAACAATAGAACACACTCGTTGCTAAAGTATCATGCATTTATAATTTAAGCAGAAATTTGTTTTCCTTATTCCTGTTTATGGAATACTTCTCACTTAATTATTTCGTTTTCAAATTTTTGCATTTGCATACCTGGACTAGCAAATGCTGAACGGGAAAGGCGCATGCTCGTTCCAAAAAGAGACCTCGAGGTTAGACCAGAATATTGAAAAAACGGTTTATCCAATTTAGAAACATAATCTATGCTGACCTTCATTTGTATGGCAAATATTAATCCCAAAACGGTGTAGAAGCACAAGTAAAATATTCCTAGTTGACCTAAATTTAACATTTTACGTTTTACTTTAATATGTTCCATGATGATGGAAGGTCATATTTCTCCATGAAGCACAACATAGCATTCGAAAAACCGGATGTAGCTAAATTAATACGTTGCATCGGCCATTATATTAATTTTCAAGATGGTATCATGAAGTTTTATTTTGTCCGAGCTATATTAAATGTTTATTAACAAGGACTCTAGTAAAGTTAATATATTTTAATATGGAACAGAAATGGCAAATATTTTATCAAGAAATTTTTTATATTAATATTAATACTTATTATTATTTAATATCATTAAATAATTTGTATAAATTATATTATTAACAATTTTTAATATCAATATCAATATTAGTATTAATATTAATATTAATTTAAAATTTTGGCATGAAATAGAAATAGGAAATTTAAGGAATAGAAAATAAGCTAAATGACAATATTAATTTTTGTTATTAATTATTGTATATGTTACCCCATTCCTTTGCTGTTCTGTCGAGGAATGCTTTTCGATCTTTGTCCCAGATAAATCTCAAGAAATTTCCAAGAGGTCCCAAATCGGGTTTTGGTATTCGACTTTTATAATATTCTTCATCGTGTAATATCACCATAACGAGAATTGAGCTGTATCCTTAACAAACATGTATTTTGCTTCTTAAAGTTAGTTATATTTGATTCATCTTGACTATGCATTTATTTTTATCTAACTTCAATAAGATCAGTATTACATGAATTTATTCGAGCTCTATTTGAAAACAGTCGATATACAGTGTGTCCAATTTATCTACAAAAATATCAACATTTCGAAAGATATAGATAGTACACAAAAATATTTCGAACAAAAATTATAAAATACCAGTGTATACATATGATTCCTATATTTTTAATTACTTACTCTTGTAATTAATACAGGTTGGCTCGAAATTCGTAGTACAACCGAGCAGGGAATGATTTCTACGTAAAAAAACAAATCGGAAAGAAAGAATAAAATTTTTTCACTTGAAGCTTTATTGTCGAGAAAATTGACTTTGAATATTCACCGAGTACGCTGGTATACTTATGGTCCACCCATTTAGGCCAAAGTTAAGTGCACGCGTACTTAGTGAATATTCAAAAAATGAAAATTAAAAAATTTTATTCTTTTTTTTCGATTTGTTTTTTTACGTAGAATCACCTCTTGCTCGATTATATTACGAATTCTGGCCCACTCTGTGTATATATAGGTGTGTGTACATATCTATTGGATATTTCGTTTGACTGAAAATGGAGGAATATCTCACGAGAGATGAAAATTAACAGAAAAATATTAGTATAAAATTTATTTAGTATCGACGGAAATACTAAATGATATAAATAATTCGTCTTTAAATGTGATGATAGGAGAAATATTTGAGTGAAGTTAATTCTTTTAACACTAGATTTACGAAACCCGTCAATTTGACGGATGGGTTGCTCCAATTATACGATGGTAACAGATTTAGTTAACTTATATTAAGACTGTTAATATTGCAATTGTTTTTAAATTAAACTGATCGTTAAAAAAAGAAAAGACACGTGGTTTCCTTTACCTGTATATTTGACGTATAAATAGGTATACAGATAGCGTCCGTAAATCTAGTGTTAAATAGGACCTTGTATCTTTTATTCATAATATATTACAGTTTTATAAAGATTAACTTAAATTTTTAAAAAGAAATATGCAAAATCCATGTATAGATAGGGTTTTGAAAGCGTTTTAATAAATTTCTATTTAAAAATTGAAATATCACTTTCATAAAGTTTTCCAGAATTGTTGCAAAGCCAAATGAATATAGACATTATATATGGATACCCTACCAATTTTGTTTTAAATATTTTTCTATG